TGCAAAACAGGTGTCTTGACAAGGAACCATGCCCAGACTTCTCCTGCTATTGCCTAGCACATACAACTTGAAACAGCTACCTCTCTCAGCTAAATTGAACACCTTCATAGCTCTGCTGTGGAGGTTTCCCCTGTAAGGGGTGGGTAAGCCCATCACATCTGCTATTTTGCACGCATTACCTTTAGGAAAGTAACTGAAAGAACAGTTCTCTGATCTGTGAGTGCAGTAACTGCTGTATGCCTAGGCCAGTCTAAAGTTCAGTAAAGTCACTGGAGCAGTGAAGTAATGAGAGTAATAGTATTAATAACAATCACAAATGCTTAGAGACAGGATGCTGAACAGAATGAGCGACTGATCTGATATGTGACATTTTCTGCAGACTTCTAGGTAACTGAGCTTGGGTCTAAAAACATGCATTAATTTTTCCTGTTCCGCAGGGAGTAAGGCTCAGAGATTGCCACCACAAGTGGAGAGGAGACACACATCCTCTGAATATCACAGAGAGGCATGTGGAACAGCAGTGTTAATGCATGTGGCTTTCTTCCAAGCTGGAAGTCCTATACAAATGAGCTATTGTGGGTGATATTGGCCTGAGTGGTGATGTAGGCTTGTATGTTTCTGTGTAGGGTCTGGACTTCAGATGGTGATCCTGTGATGAGAGATTTATACTCAGCATGAGTGTGAGTAATTGGTTTTAAATGCTGTCTGGTTCTTATCTAGAACTGTTTGCTACATTATAAAGCCATTTAAATTGAACCAATTTTATCACATCACTAAAACCGCATGAGCTTAATTTACTTAATTTCTCCTCTTTCAATTATATGATAAAGCATCCAACTGCAGACATATAATTTAATGCTGTTTTTCCTTTAAATCCTTCTTCCATGCAATAACGTCATGTAGCAATTTTCATTCAACCAAACTATACCAAGACTGAAAAGATGAAAACATTGAGTGCAGTATCAATTTCTCCAATGCCAGACGGTTCCTATTGATACTTACTGTTGCGACAAGGTGAGTATTCAGCATAGGCACTGAAGTTCTGAATTGCAACATAGCAGGTGCCAACAGGGTCCTTCTCAGGGCTATCTTTAAGGGTCCTCCAGTGATATAAGGGAGCACAAGCCTATCAAAACAGGAACCATGTCACACATACCTTTCATGCACTCATGCATTTAGCAGATGCATTTTTTATTACACAGTTTAGAAGGGTTCTCTCTAGTAGTCTATCATTCCTGTAGAAACGATCACAGAATATTGATAGAAGAAAATGCAGGACCACTACTGCTTATAATGAAATTATAATCTGAAAACATAGTCTGACCTTTCACTTGTAGCCCTCAGCACGTGAAATTCAACAGGGAGTACAACTCATATTTAAGCATACATTATACATCCTCCCCAACCCTGCTCCATGCAGAGTATGGTTGCTCCATTACTACTCACAGTACAGGATTTGATCCCATAATTTAAGCTGTAGATCACATACATTTGGCTGAAGAGGGCCGTACTTCTGTCCTGAGGAGTCGTAAAACAAAAGCTGTTGCAGCAGAACAGCTATGTTTCTGCTTTACTGAACGGAAGGACGTTTGCTGAGGTGTCATACTCTCTATCACAATCATCAGATTATCTATCACTAAATGAATCCCTGGTTCAGATCCTTACGGAGATGATATGGCATTCAACAGCTGGGGAGTAAGTCTTCTCCAGTCTTTCGTACTTAACATGTAAGGTCTGGCGGACAATGAACAGGTTTTTGCTAAACATGACAGTCTAAGGATAAAAGACATACAACGTGTGTAGGAAGAGGCAAGATCTTTTCTGAAAGTAACTCAAGTAACTGGACAAATAAAACAGGTAAGCTTTCAGGTGTGTAAGTCATTCTCCAAGGGTTCCTGTGCCCTAAAACTTTTCAGTTCATTTTGGGGGGGAAAAAAAAGATACAACCTGGCCTCTGTAAGATACAGATAAATTCTCTATTTTTGTCCTTGTCTTACGTTTCCAAGCAGAAAGCTGTCTAGCTGTGGCAAGGCACTATTGTTATTCATATCGCTATATAAGTCTTCGTTCTGCAGTCAGTTCCAGCAGGATGAACCACTGAGCTACTCAGAGCTTCTAGAACTTCGCTTTAAGAGCTTGCAAGACTCTAAGACATGCCCCTGCCTAGAACAGCTTACAGACTAAAACATGCCAAGAGCAAAACCAGAGTGCAGCAAAGAGGAATACATGTCGTGTGAGGGTGATTTTAGATGCATTGAGCAAAACGGATTGAAACAGGGATTATACGCCATCATAAACATTGAACTAATGCAGTTTAGTATTGTATTTGTAGTAAAAAGAGTCCCTAACAACTTCATGACATGTTTTCTTTCTCTCCTTTCAGTCTACAGAACTTAAACATAAAGACTTCTAGCTTTGCTGTTCAAGTTTTTGCCTAGAAAGTGTTGACTCTATCCATGTTCCAGAAAGCCTGAGAAGAGTTATCAGAAGCAAAACAAAGTTTGCTTAGTAGGGACAGAGCACAGCAATCAGTGATGAGTTTTTCCCACTCCTCATTCCATTCAGATTCAGTGAATGGTGGTAAAGAACTATTCCGTTTTGGTTTCTGAACCAAACTCTCAGCTATTTTTAGAATTTTTACATTGATAATTAAGAAAGCGACACAATATTTACTCTTACAAATACCTTCTTTGTGTAATTAACTTTTACATAAAAAAGTACATGTACCAAATAGAGGTATATGAAGGCATCAAACATGAAATTTGAGAGCTATGGTAACACCCATACAACCAACAGGGAATTAACAGTATATACTAGTCCTCTAACAGAAGAGGGTGATGTTCTATTCATTACCTGTTTCATGTCAAAATCCTTCTCTAGCGTTAACAAGACATACTACTTAAAGGAAGGAAAACATTTTCTTTAGATACTTCTTCCCATTAAGCAATAATTTTGATAATTGAAACACCTAAACAAATCCCAAGACAAAAGCTATGGCTTTGGAATTGCAAAAATAATAAAATATGATCACACTAATGACTCATATCACAATGCTTTTAGCAATCTTTTCAATGTAAATTTTAGTGCATAAATTATAAATATGTCTGTATACAAGCAACATCACCACTACCTTTACTAAACAATAAAACTTGGCCTAAGAATAAACCCAAAACAACAGGAGGAATACCCATGCTGGTGTCCTCTATCAGCGTAGGGAAAATGTTCTGCGAAATTGGAATATAGACATTGCACATTGACAGCAATCCTCTGATTTGGAGCTTTTTTACCATGACAGAACTATTCCAAAGAATGTGAATGTGAAAAAAGACATCTTATTAATTGATCTTCAGTATGGCATCTTGTCTTCTCTTACATAATTCTGCAGTTAACATTACTCATAAAGCTTCACAATAAAAAAAACATTTTAAGCATATAGCAATCAGAATTATTCTGTATTTCAAAAAAATATTTCCATTATCTGTTAAAAAATCATCATCTGCTTCCATAGGCAATAAATGTCATTCTGCTATTTTGACATGCCAGAAGGATCATCTTCAAGTGTTTAACTCAACGTGATTGTATAGACTGTTTTTATTTTCTGAGTTATATATATCACCTATTTTACAACTTAAGGATAATCTGAAGCACAGAGTTCTGTCTATAATCTACATACAGAGATCTGTTAAGAATATACATTTGAAAAAAGATAAGCATTATCTCCAAATGAACACCAAATGCATAAGACTTACCACAACTTTTTCTTTATGAGCTTTGACTGTTGCCCCAAACCACTGATTTGTCTTAAACTCAATAGGTTCCCTGGTGCCATTGACTTTGATTTTCCTGTTGTCTAACAGAGAAAGAAGCAGTATGTTGACAGCTTATTTAAAAAAGTATTTCCCTGTGAATTACAGACACAAACAAACAGACTAATGGTTTTATTAATTTTACTGCATTCACTGTCATCCTCCTACTAGTTTAATATGGAATGGGCATTTTAATATCACTTAAGCTTTTTACTGATCGGTGAAAGATGCCTTATTGAAATCCACATGTGAATATTCAAAATATTTACATTTAAACTCCAGAACAAAGTAATTTAAGAAGAAACCCTGCTTTTCCCACACAAAAAAGTTTGTTCACCTGGAATTTATGATGAAGAATGAACAAAAATCTCTACAAAAATGAGTGAAAGTACCTAAACCTTTTTCATGAGGGATAGAAATTTTTCACGTGAAAAAAGCATGTACTATAATTAGCTTTTGTCAAACAAATGAAATTTCTCAGCATGCTCATTCAAAGAACAGCATTACAGATAGCAAAGGACTTAGTTTATAACTGAATTACATGTGTACACACTGCCACAAGAGACAACTTCTTAACTTTGCTTTATATACACTCTTGCAGATGTCAGCATTAAGAGAAGCCATCTGGGTAAAGACTCAGGCCAATTATAATGCATTTCAGGTTTTAATAAAAAGCAGACATCCCTTCCTTTTGCCCTCAGTTCTCTGAAGTAAACTGATTTCCCATATGTTCATGAGCTATGCTCTTTCCTTAGCAGTCATTCCTAATGAACTTCTCAATTTATATATAAGTAGGGTATTACTCCTTTCCCCTTGTATCTGCATTCCCTTATGTTTGTTTCTGGTTCCTATCAAGGGGGATTTCACAAGAATCTATTCTTTTTATTCAGCCTAAGCGAAAATAAAAACATACACTGTCTACCATAGAATGTAAAAAAAAAAAGAAATGTCATATTATATTATACGGATTTAGATAGATTTTTAAAAAACTGGGGTAAAATGCAGTTGCTATAATTGTCACCTTTAAAAAGCCAACACTTTCTGGGATTTGCCAGATGGAGACAGGAGATATCCGCATTCTTATCCAGGATGTTTTATCACTGGTTACCTCAGCACGTGGTAACCCCATAAATGTTACAAATATAAACTGAATTAGAAAGAAAAATCCTTTATATTTGGAAAACAGGGGGATTCTATCACTGTTTTTTTCCAATAAGCATGGAAGAAAATTGAATAAGAATGAATCTGTGAAAGTTTGAAAAGTCTCTGGGAAAACATCTTCCTCCATAAAAATATGCATTTCTGTGCTGCACCAGTTACAGAAGCTGATATGGAAATCCATGCTTAGCTTCTTTACATCTCACAAAGGAGACGTAAATTTCAGACATATATAGATCCTCAAAACCGAGGATGAATAATATAAAATCATTCTACAGCTATTCACTTTTAAAATGCATTTTACTTAAGTTAGGCCTAAACTTTAAGAGCTTGGGAGACAATGACTTTGACACACACTGCATTGTAGGAGCTGCCAACTTTTACCCTGTTGCTGGCAATACCACTTTTGATTAATTTTCCCAGTGAAGCCAGACCCTTTCAAACTTTAAAGGCCTCTTTTTTTTTTCTTCTAATGCTCCAGCAGATCTGAACATGATCAATGTTCACAGATGAGGTCTTGATAGAAACAAAGCTTTTGAAGCTTGAAAATCAGCCATGGTTGGCTTACAGCAGCCAATGCTAACCTGGCTCCAAGGATCCTCACGACCAGTTTTCTAACGTGAAAAGAGCTTACATTTTCAATCAAAACAGCATACTTGTCTACTGAAAAAGTATACTCAAATGTGAGGAGAAGTAAGGTTTTAAAACTAGGACAACTGTTTGCATGTAGTGCTCCTCTGGAATCAAACCTCAGATAATGGCTGGGATAATAGTTTCTGCAGGATTTATAAAAACCATAGCGGAATTTACTAGTAGAGCTGCAAGAACCCCCCATTAGTGGTATATGGTGTAGCATGAATCCTTCATCATGTGGTATGCAATTTTTATCATAAGATAATCAGTAAAATACCACAGACACTCAAATTGGTATAATCAAAACAGTTTTTTCCCTGGAAAAATCTTTCAACAAAAACTCTCTAACCACCTTTCTTTCAGATCCTTGCTGGAGCTATGGAGTCATCTGCCCAGTTTCTGAGGTTGTGTCTTAAAATACAGTTTGGTCTTTTTTATGTAACATCCAATCAGTATTCCAGATCACTCTTAAACAGCAAGCGCTTTCCCTATAACTTTACCAAAATGAAGATACATATACAATCAACTTGCATGGATACACATGGACTGTCCCTATTGTGCACTGGTCGCACTCAATTAGACGAGAAGGTTCTGACTAAAGACGCTGAAAATGTCCACTTCTGAGCTAGTCATCCAGACTCTATTTACAACGGAGGGTATAACGTAGCACACTGTTCTTCTCATCCTGAAGCAAACATATGAGAAAGTCAGAAGAATCATGGCACAGAAGTACTTAGTTTTTTTCACTAACTGTGGAGAGCCAAACATGACCAGCTTAAACTAGACTCAGATAAAAATTGTTTACTTAGATAAATCCCACTTCAAGTTTCTAAAAACCACAAAGTTGTTATTTCTGTCTTTGTTACATCCTTCAAAACTGTGTTATCCCAGTGTTTCAAAAAATTTCATGCATGTATCCTCACAACATCCTTAAGACAGGGAAAGATCCTCCCTGTGTTATTTATGGGCATCAGAGGGCCACAGGCTATGTGTGGCGATCTGCCTTACCCATAGGTGAAGGTATACCTCTGTAAGCAGTTCAAACTTGGATTGAATTCAAGCTGTATAAAAAGGTCATCTTCTCTTCTGGAGGAGAAAGCCTGGCCCCTTTCAGGAAGGAATCCAGGCTATCTTGTATCACGATACATGACGCTAGTGCAAGCATAGCTAGGATTCAAGGCAGCAGCTGGGCTGGGCATACAACGCCTGAGACTGTTCACCGTGTGGTGCAGGGAGTGCCTGAGTACCAGCTGGATTGCTTCAGAGCCAGCCCAGGAGCCGTTCCAGATGGTCAACAGTCTGACTGACTCGCAAATTTGGCCTGAAACTCGGTGCTGGAGTCATTCTTAATTACACTGGCTAAGAGTGCATTGCAGGCTAAGGCCAAGCTAACCAAGAGTATTTAAGGAGCAGAGGGGCCCCTGTCATTTAGGGGCAAAGATATCCTCAAATCACATTTTAGCAGCCCAAAAGCATCTCATTTTCTGCTGCAGGAGTCTAAAGTCTCCTCTACAGTGGCACTATCCCACAATCCGGCTTTGAAGAAGCTCTGGAGATAGTGAAACATGATTCACAAAATCAGTGTTCCTTTACCAGCCTTGCCAGTGGGGCCCCATCACCTAGCCCTGAGCTATCTAAGGGCACGTATTATTTTGTATAAGCAGGTGTAGGCGCATACTAGCTCAGAGTAGTACCTTGGTTAGCTGCGTCATGGAAGACAGTTTCAGAAAGAGATGTATGCTATGATCACTCAAGTCTCTGCTGCTTTGTTATCACTCACAAACGCAGTCCAAGCTACAGTGGACCACACTCCACCTGATATCTTGCATGTCATGACAACTGTCCATTTCCTTCACGAGAAGATTTGTTTGAGTAAGGAAAATGGTCCCTTAAATTGCCAAAGAAGCAGCTTGACAAACAGAAAAATTTGAATCCAGATGCTAAAATGCAAACCTATGTAATTACAAACAACAGTGCAGGGATTCATTTTTAGATTGAAGTCTGAGCCTGGAATGAGTGCAAGTGAAAATCCATCATTTAGACACATTAGACCAAATTTGGTGCTTTCTGAGTGGATTGGTCTCATCTCACTCACTAAGGGAGCACATTATGAACTGTTAAACAGGCACCAGACAAACATTGCCCTTACAAATATTTCTTTGTATCTATTAATTAGGATCTGCATACTAAAGAGGTACATGCAAACACTAATAGTGGTTCATTGTGGTTCATTCAGTTCTTGAAAACTAAAATTAAAAAATGCAACATTATTACAATTTGAAAACACTCAGATAAACATAAATAAATCAGGAATTTTTCTCAAAATCAACACAGGAAAATTGTTCCTAATCAAAGCAACATATCCAGCAATATAATAATCTACAACTCTTTCAAGTTAGTTCTCACTCTTCAGAAACTTTTAAAAGTATTATCTTCATATGCTGTGTGTGTGTGTTTGGGTGTATGTACTGAAACGGATAAACATAGATGACCATGAATTCAGTGTCTGCAGCAGGCTCAGTTATAATGCCCCCAGTAATCCGTACCTATCCAGACTACATTCAAGATGGCAAATGCCTTCAAATACCCATTTTGACATATGTATATGTATGTGTGGATGTACGTATCTGTGCATACATACATATAAAAATACATATATAGAGAGAAGATAAGACCTATTATGTATATTTATATATAATTAGATATAGGCAGAGTGGAGGGGAATAATCACCTATACATATTTTATAATATGTGAATAAAAATATATAAATATAACAAACATGTATATTTATACAAATATATACATACAGGTCAAGGAAAGTGATTATTTCCCTCTACTTGGCATATGAGAGGTGACATCTGGAACACCATATATACTTTTGGGACACCAGAAGAGAGCTGGAATTGTTTAGCTTAGAGAAGATATAACAAAGAAGGATCTAATGGCACTATATCCAATATCTAATAGGTAAAGAGAAAACAGAGACAGCCTCTTCTTTGAGGTATGCAGCAAAAGGACAAGAGGCAACACATACAAGTTGCAGCAAGGGAAATTCTGGTTAGATACACAAAAAAATTCTTCATAGTGAGGGTGGTTAAGCACTGGAACAGCCTGCCAAGGAGGCTGCGGCATCTCCCTCCTTGGAAAGTAGACTACATAAGGCTCTGAGCAACCAAATTTAACTTAGAAATCAGCCCTGCTGAATGTTTAGGGTCATGGCTCACAGGAGGGAAGTTGGAGTAGGAGGGGTTTGTACTGGGATACATGGTCCCATATTCTAGAATTGAAGAAAGAGATGGTCTTGGCACCCCTATCATCACGGCAGGATGCCACTTTCTGGTATCAGTATCCTAACAGTTTCACATGGAATCACACATTGCTAATCAAAGATAAGTCAGTAACAGTCGCAGGATCATTGATACTAGGCCTTCCACAGAGACACAAAATATAAATACAAGTCTAAAGGCTACGATTTAGAGAACCAAGCCAAGCAATTGCCTTCAGTGTTAACACTGGGGAAAAGAAGTGGCTTGCAGTGCTTTGAGGCGGTAAGGACATCCAAATTCCTTGGATGACAAGAAGAGTAGCTTCTATTTTTAAACTGATCTGATTCTGCAAACATTGATTTCTTTTTTTTCAGTTGTGCCTAGATTCTATTCGTAGGAGTTCTTTTAACTTAATAGATCGTAATCTAGGGATCTTTGTTTGGACTTTCATTCCATGAGTCAAGAAAAAGAAATGACCAAACCCAATAGGATTTTTTGCCTAAGTACAATCTGAACAAAAAATAATTAAGATCTCAGAGCTTGAACTAACACAGCTAAGGGTATTTTCTCCCTTCTTTAGATGTATAAAAGAAATCCACAAAGGGTTACATGCTACCTGTGAGCTATGAGGTTCCAGATAAGGTCATATCAGCATAGCTGACTGAAATGTGTCAACATTTTAAAAGTATAATGAACTACTTCTTCCTCAGCACTTTGTCTTGAGATGCAAATTCTGTTTTATTACAGAAATTTTCCCCAGAATCTTACTATCTTTAAGTTAATGATTTTTTCGTGTAACTAAATCTCTCGAGTCCCACAATACATCCTTTCCTTATACAGTACCTGGGTTCTGTTACAATCAGCTCAACTTCTGGCCAGACTAGCTCATGTTTTCTATCAACTGCACGTTTAGCCAGAGCTGACCTATATTTCCCTCCCCTGTTCCTCTTCAAAGATGATTCAAATTTTCTCCATTTGGTTTAGAAAACATTCCCTATTTGACCAAAACCTGCTAAAGTTCACTGACAGCAAAGACAACACCCCAGTGAATCTTGCAAACTTCGGGGAAGAATATCTAAGAATTCTGCCTTTTTGAGGCAGGTAATTTAATTTAAAAGGTAAGAATGTGTTGCAGTGTGTTATGCATGACAATTTAAAGTGAAAAACGAGTTTCTGAAATATGAACTATTAGCTTTTTAACAGATCTCAAATGCAATAGTTTACTTCAGGGGGCATTTAAGTTTACTCCTGGCTGCAAGATGCTTTAAGTGCTCCAGAACTTACCCAGTGAGGGGAAAAAAGTTTTCCTCATGTTGCTCTCCTGCTACCTCTTCTGGCAGCCGAAAGGAAGAGCACCGATGTTAAACACAAATGTACCTCAATACTAGAGCAGAAATAGTCATTGCAAGCTTTATTTCGTAATGGAGAAACTGAAACAAAGAAGCTGGCTTTGTGTAGGTAAGAGAAGAAAGCCAGATCAAAGCTCTCCGACATAATGCCAATCCTTGTTCCCCTGTGCTCTCATTAACTTTCAAAGAGTATCACAGCCTTACACGGCAATGGAGTAGGACAGGGTCACGGGGCAGGAAAAGAAGGGAACAAGTGAGAAGAATCTCTGCCCTTTAGTCCGTATCTCTTGGGGTAAGGGGATACTAAAAGCCCTTCCATTATTCTTTATCTCAGCTCTCTGCTACAATGAAGCGGGTTAAAGCATCAGTTGCGTTTTCATGGGCAGCGCTCTCACCTTCTTCCCAGAATCTTTGCTCCATCTCCCAGATTTAAGGAGGTTTAGAGGACTGCAAATCTGGGACTAGAAAGAGAATCCATGCTCTATCAAGGGAGCAGGAAACATGGAGAGTTCCTGCTAAAGCTCCTTCTTGGCTGAAGGCCATGTCATTGGCCAACCCATACGGGAATACTCTGTTATATGACTTGCGTGTGGATGGGGGTGGGGTTCAACTCACCTATGCATATCAAAACTTTGTCCCTCTTTCCTCCTCTGCCCCCTATCCC